AGAGAAAGGGACAGAGAGAGTGAGGCAGTGACTGAGAGAGAGAGAAATAGAAAGGGACAGAGAAAGTGAGGCAGCGACTGAGAGAGAGAGAGAAAGGGACAGAGAGAGTGAAGCACTGACTGAGACAGAGAGAGAGAAAGGGATGGAGAGAGTGCGGCAGTGACTGAAAGAGAGGCAGAGGGACAGAGAGAGTGACAAAAAGGACAGAGAGAGGGAGAGAAAGAGAGAGTGAGGCAGAAAGTAGGGCAGGTGTGGAGTGATGTTACTGATGTAATTTGTTGGTCATACTCACTGTCATGTTGTCACTCTCTGTTTGATGAAAACACAAACATTTTTGCATGAAAATCTGAAGCATACCATAACTGGAATCTGATTCTGAAGGAATGCAGTGTGGATTAAAAGGACAGATGAGTTTGGATTTGTCTTTGTACTTCTACAAAAAAAAAATCATCATTCAAAATATACAGGATTCATTTTACAGGAGACATGCATTCAGAAAATGTAAAAGACACTGAATACTCAAATTATTAAAACACATTTGCAGTACATGAGGCTGAGAACAGTGTGTGACATTGAGTTGAACTTTACAGGTCTCATAACAGGGGACAGGGCCCTCCAATTAATCCAATAAACTGCATTGAATAAAACAAGAAAGAAATGTAATTGTTTTCAACATTTAACCAAGTGAATAAAGAAGCTATATCAAGTGATCAATAACCAGAGTATTATGTGATCAATAAACATATTTTTCGATCAATAACATTGTTATATGATCAATAAGACAATACAGAACTGAATTGTTATCAATAACAATATTGTACAAACACTAATTGTTGTTTGATCACTAAGTGGGAAGATTTACTGAACTTTTGATAGCTGCAAGCCCCAGGGAGTTTAATAAAGTCAGTGATAGAGACTACGACCCCCTCAACATGTAGCAGTAACAGCCAGGGATAAGGGACTGGTGTGAGCTCACTGTGTCACACAGCCATGTGGTGGGACTGCTTATATTCCTGTCTGTGGTTGGGATGCTGTGCTAATCTTCGATGGAGCCTGTACAATGTTGTCCCACTAGGCACAGCAGTAAATCTCCACAATGGAACTGAAACATAGAAGACAGGAGCAGGAGGAGGCCATTCGGCCCTTCGAGCCTGCTCCACTATTCATCACAGTCATGGCTGATTGTCCAACTCAATAGCCTGATCCTGCTTTCTCCCCATAACCTTTGATCCCATTCGCCAAGTGCTATATCGAGCTGCCTCTTGATAGAAACATAGAAGGTAGGAAAATGCAGCTGATGTGAAAGGCAAGTGCGTGGGTAGAACAATGGAAACAAACGTTTTGGGGCACATTCTCAATCTATCTGCGTCTCATTCAGAAACTGATCAGCATGTACTGCATTTTCAATGCCCATCCCTCCCTGAATCTAGTTCAATGTTGGCTTAGAGGTTTCAGAAATTGTGTATGAGAGTTACCCTCCTTTCAAATATAGGCTGTAACTGACAATGGTCCATGACCCAACATCAACATTATTCACAGGAACCTGTCAGCTGTTTAAAAATTGAAAATCTCCTCTCTTGCCGGACTGTCTGCTGCTGGAGTGAGGTTGTGTTATTTACTGTATTTTCAAGGATTTCCGGGACATTAATGTTTACAGAATGGCCTATGCAAGTGGAATTACACAGGGAAATAAGTCAGGGCTGAGGAAAGGCAACCAGGCCATCAGAAGTATAGTACCATAGCATTGCCTGGGTGTTGGGAATAACCCATTGCTCTTTCTCCATTTACCTTACTGTTTTGAAACCTGCTCTTGATATTTAGTGCAGATTAATGTGTTTAGTTCTGCTATTTGAACTGATGCAAAGTGAAGAGTGCTTATGAAGCAGATTTTCTGCACAAAATTTATGGCTGAAAATTTGGTTCCTTTTAACGGTGAGTGTGACTATTCCATCTCTCATTCCATCTCTGTGATTTTGCTGAGCTTGAGGTTCAAAGATCTTAAAACTAAGATTGAATACCTGCACCACAATATAAAATAAAACAGCCAGAATCCAGGAGGGAGCCATTTTATGTCTTGGTTAAATCCCTTGGCCTTTTTCCCCGTCCTTAAAGCTGAAATTTGAAACAGTGCTTAGATCCCGAAAAGAAACGTTTCAGTGCAATGTACACTGTACAGGCCTCATGTATCATAGTGCAACAATAGAAAATAGGAATTCCATTCAAAGGGAAAGGAAATGGATTTGGTCCATTGGAATTTTTCTGAGGGAGTCAATGTATCTGGAATATTGGAATTCCACCCCAATGCAGAGAGTTGATGGGGATTGGATCGATTGGCTCCAATGCTACAGGAGGAATTTGGAAGAGTTTGGTGTTTTGAAATTCTACTCCAATACATCAGTAACATTGACATTTTATTAGAATAAAAGCGATGGGATTTTGGACATTGGGATTATGTACACTGGGAGAGAATGAGAGGAGATTTGGGATATTGGGAGTGTGTACAGGGGAGGGAGTGGGAATGGGATATTGGGATTGTGTACAGGGGAGGGAGTGGGAGGGGGATATTGGG